TGCAATTCAATAAAGCGCCCAGCGGAGCGGGCGAGTAACAGCTAGTAAATGATAAATAGAGCAGTTTGGGACTTTGCATCGGATGCAACAAACAAAAAGTTATCCTAAGCCGTCATTTTAAAAGGAAAAAAAAAATTATTTTATCACCTTTAAAAATATTTAAAAAAAAAATGAAAGATTTTGAGGCTTTTACATGGACTTCCCCCTTAAGTATCATCATAATCATAAATAAATGATCATTTACGTCTCTGTATCCTGATAATTTTGTATTATTTCCAGCAAATTGAAGACTTCATAAAGCGGCGCTCTGAAAGCATCAGACAAAGCAAGGTCTTCAGCCCATGGTACTACTCCAATTCTCAGCGACACTTGTTGTACGTAGAGTAATGAACTTTCGGATCTATTTGATCCATTTGTCACTGTCGTATTGATAACTACTTTGGGTGTGTTGCCAGGCATTGGCAAGTTTATCAGCGGGTAACTGAAAAAATATTTTATCATCAATATGTAATGAATGATGAATGAAACCTGTCAAAGTTATGGCAGTACTTTGATAACACTCATACTTATTTTATTATCAATATAATTTATTATTGATAATTAATCAATAACTTACCAACATATTAATATAATAGAAATTGCCAATGATAGTATTGCAACAGGATGTGATGAGCAAAAAAGACCATGGGCATAATAGAGCCCTGCTACTCTGTCTGGCAGACTTCGGGACATTTCACCTCAGAGATAATGTTATTAACATTTCTTACTCAGTTATCCAATAATCTTTATCACTATAAAAAATAAAGCAAATAATTTATCAGTAATAATAATAAAAATTACACTGAAATTAATAACTTTTTAAAATGTGTGTAATAAAAAAATTAATACTTGAATATTATTTATAAATATTAATTTAGCAGATATTTGATAATTTTAAACATTTTTTTAACAAGTAAATTATGGCAAAAAAAATTAACATGTAGAAATTTAAAAAAATAAAAAATGATTAAGTGACTGCTAACTTTAATGTCATATATTATTTTTAAAAAATTAGTCATAGTTTTTTACAATTTTTCTGTGTAATTTTTTTTTTGTCATAAAAATTTTTTAAATTATAAAATGTTTGTTAATTTTAGAATATTTATCAATAATTTTTACAATAACAATCAGTTTGACAAGAT